ATCATGAAATCATTTCATGTACAATAATTTGGAGAAAGACATTATGATAGTTATATCCCAGGTTTCCAACAGGAATCTGGTCCTCTCCATTCAATTCAATCCCTATATTTTCCAGTGAAGATTGGTGTTATGTTGGCTTCATGCCAAAATAAAATTAACATTCAGTGATAAGTGTTCCTGGAAATAATTGGAGATGAGTTGGTGTCTCTGTGGCTTCAAGCTCAACAAGAAACTTTGAAAGACAGCATGACTGCAGCCAACCTAGCTGTCACTAGGGAGTGCAATGCAGGCCTTCAGAGCTGATGGCATGAGTCTTTACTAGAGGTACACTGATATAGCGGTGTCATATCAGATCAGTACTGATAAAAGGAAAATTAACATTATCGGCTATCAGCTTTTTTTGGCTGGCCAGTGATGTCACTAATTGAATACAGTATGCCTTCTGGCTGTGGCCAAGAATGCAGCCAGCAGGTAAGTCTGTGGAGGGGAAGAGACACGGGGGAGGGAAGGGGCATGGGAGGGGCAGATCAAGGCCTCCACAGTGAGGGCGGGAGTGGGGCTCGGGGCACTGCCTAGTCAGGGTGGTGAATGGGACCCTGGGCCGGGAGCAGGATGGAGCTGTGGGCAGCTTATCCAGGGGACACAGGAGGGTGGGGAGTAGAGGCAGCTCCCTGCCGCTGCATACACCCCTTGGGGGAGGCAATATGTCCACACAGATTTGTGCGTGAGGCAGGTGTGGGGTACCTACTGTGGGCTCAGAGCTCTCTGCTCTGCTGCCTTTGCCCTGGGAGGCTGTGCATCAGCCATACGTTCCCTTGCCCATGTGGCAGCGGTAGGAGGGCAGCAAGTTTGTGCCTCCTGCTGCCGGGTGGGCAGGGGACGAGCAGCTGACACAGGGCCTCCAGAGCGAAGACAGCAGGGCAGAGAACCCCGATCCCACAGTGGGCAGCCTGCATTCACCCTCACCTTGCTTGGCTCTGCTCCAGTTAAGTGTCCCCTGCTTAAAAACGGTGGCAGCAGCACTTGAACTAAAGCTCGTTTAATGAGCTTTAGTTCAAGTGCTTCCCGCCCCTGCCCCGGCTGGGCAGCTCCCCCAGCCACAGTCCCTGCCCTTGCCCCACTCCCTCCCTCAGCATGTGGGCCTTGATATGTACCCACCATGCCCCTTCCCTCCCCCATGCCCCTTCTCTTCCACAGATTTACCTGCAGGGTGCTTCTCTCCACGTTACCCAGCTGCTTTCCTGTAAATCTGTTATTGGATTGGCCGATGTGGCTGGTTAATAATCAGCAATCGGTGTCAGCCAAGAAAATCTTTATTGGTGCATCTCTAGTCTTTACAACTGAGTCAGTCAGGCTTATGAGCTGGGGACTAACAGACTTGCATCCTCTGTAGATCAAGCATAGAGTACAGTGATGAACATGCACACTAATATATCATTACATTAGCAAAATCATAGCTAGCCCTTGTATGAAAGTGGAGCTGAGGAATGCACAGTCAAAATCATTGACTGTTTGTGAGATTATAAGCAGGACTGACTTCCAGCGACAAAGGAAAGGAAACGAGAAAAAGAGTAGTGGGATGGTAAATAATGTTGAAATGTATTATCTAAAAAAAATCAGTCTTTTGAAATGACAAGAAAGCTGTTTTTCTCTCACAAATTCTTCTATATAGAGAATGTAGTGAACTGTAATTCTTTTATGTAGTCTAGTGCATGAAGCTTAAAACTGGGCTCTTCTCTTCAGAAGATGTTGTGTTTTTGGCTGTATCAGACCATATTTTATGACAGGGCTGTTTTGCAAGAATGGAATGGACTTTGATGCAAAGGTAGGGATTTCCTGTGTGTTAAAAAACAAAATAAAAAAAACCCTATACGCCTTTTGGCATACATAAATTGGATCCAGCATAAATTCATGGCTCATGGAGCACCACAACTTAAAGGAATAAATTAAAAAAGGGTCTGAGCTGTTCATGAAAATCATTTCTACATGAAATGCTGTACAAGAAATAGAAATGTAGGGTGTGTACACTAAGACAAATATACAGTATATTAACAAATAAAAATATCTGCAACCTGGGATATCTTAAATAATGTTTTTAAAGCCTTGCTTAAAGTAACTGATGGTTATGAATGACGAAAGGTATAATAATATGGAATGGTATATGCAAGTTCAAGCAGTATTTGATAAAAACAATGACACTGTCCAGAACATGTTTCCTTCTTTCTTAAAAAAAATTTGCATAGGTCTGATAATGTTTGTTTAAAAAAAAAAAATACTTGAAATGCACAAAGTGGCTTTGTTGGCATTTTAAAATCATGATTTTCAAAAGGCTCTAAAAGTTTCTCTCTGACCTTGCATCTATGTACAGTTTTGGTGACAGGTAATTGTGGGCATGTTTTAGAACCCTAACTACTGCATTTTCAGGTATTTAGACATCTTAGTTATGCATCTGTGTAATTACCATATTTGTCCCTGCAAATATTTATGACCACAAAATGCAGATGTAATCGAATCCTAAATGTTCAGTTAGCTTTAGTCTTTGAGAAGAGTATTTTCAGATACATGGGTAAGTGACCAAGAACTGTTTGACTTTTTCACCTTCTTTACAATGTAAAGTCATCACAGGGTTAGTAAATAAGTCAATAATAAAATTTCTTTTGTAACTGAAGATCAGTGTTACATATTTAATCTCATTGTTCAACTACCTGACAAAATGTATTCAGGAATAATCTTCAAGCAATGATGAAGCAAAGGGTAAATGGTTGATATTTGCAGTTTTATGCAGGCAGAGTTCCCATGGGAAGACCAGTCCCTTAGTCTTTGAGCTAGAAAAATTCTGTCTAAAAAGAGTTTAAAAGAAACTAGTTTACCTTGTCCATGGTTTTGGGAACCCACAATTCATTATTTGAAAAACAAGAAAGATGGCTGCCTGTCATATGTGAATAAATGTCCTAGCACCTGGTGAACTCTAAACATCAGTTTATCATCATAAACTACAATCGTGTTTATTGCAGTAGTGTTTAAAGGCCAAATATGAATGGGACCCTACTGTGCTAGGCACTGAACAAACATAGGGTAGGTGACAGCATGTGTCTTGAAGGGTCACAATCTAGAACAGTGTTTTTCAAATTTTTTCATTGGCGGATCCCTAAAAAATTTTGAATGGAGGTGCGGACCCCTTTGACTTGTAAGTGTGGGCATTCACAGATTTTTGATTGATCATATAATCATCTTTCATAGACCCCATAGACAGTCTGTAGACCCCCAGGGGTCTGTGGACCACAGGTTGAGAAGGACTGATCTAGAAAACAAGACAGGCATGAGTGAGGGAAATGTATGTAATGCACAGAATGAATAATGTGTTGGCCTATCTTTTGTGGGTTTAGTTGGGAGGAGATCAGCTAAATTAAAAGGAAAATAAAGGCAGAGGGAGTATGAAAGTGAGGAGGAGAGGGCAGGGGACAAGGGAATAAGAAGTTAGGAGTACTGACAGGAAAGGGCTGGGTAGATGGGATAGGGAAGGATTGTTTCTTTTCTCCAGTCAGTGCAGGGCAGAGACTGTCCGTTCAGCACTATAGAAAGTAGGCTTTACCATATTTTTCCTGTTCAAATAAGTATTCTCTTTCCATTGAGGGGCAATGTCACTCTTCAAGATACCTTTTTAAAACAGATTACGGATTCTTAACACCTCATACAAAGTTTTTGTACCTGTCCACAACACTACCCACAGAAGTTTTTCAGGCATGGGCAGATAGAAATTCTGAGTCAGGCACCTATCCCTTACTGATGCTCACATACATCTTTGCAGCTACTGAATTTGGTTTCATGGCTATTTTATGTTTTTTGTATTTTAAGCAAAAGCAATATATCTCTACTGTACTTTTAATGTTAAAAGGAAAATTAGTCATTTTTTTTTTTATATAAAGTCTGTCCATGACATAATATCAATCAGCCAATTTGGGGCCTAGAATAGCAGTCCCAAAACAAGACATCACATCAAGAAAGTGTTAATCCTAAGTTCTAGTAGGATTATTCTGTGTCTAACTTGCTCAATGTAAAATATGATTATTCTTGTCTACACTGATTACAATGTCATGTTTAGCTTTGTGTTACTTAATGACTCCAAGCTTGTGTCACAATACAATTTAACTTTCTAATGAAGATTAGCTTGTCACCTCCCAAGAAGCCCAGGCTTCAGTATCAGAGGCTGCAGAGATTAGAATTTTTCTTCTAGAAGTGTTTTCTATGTATCTGTCACACCTGTCTAGAGTGACTCTTTCTGAAACTTTAGATATATTTATCCCAACTTACAGTACCTAACTCCTTAAGGGCTTGATCCTATCCTTACCTAAATAAATGGCAAAACTTCAGTTGCGTTCCTGGGTACAGAAGTAGTCTCTTAGGCAGTTTGTGTTTTAGGGTAAACATTGCTTGTACTTTTTAAGCAACCGTGAGGTTAATTTGTTTTTTACTCAGGAGAAGAAGCTTATTTCTACTTGAGGGACCAAATTTACCACTGTAGTTAAGTGGGCACCACTCATTTAAGGCAGTGAAGCGACCCTCATCCATTTCTACCTGCCCTGAATTTGGCCTGATTGGTTAATTTTTTGAGGATTCACATTTTAACACTTCTCTTGTTTTGAATGCTATGGAAGCCTTTTTCAGTTTTTCGGAAAAAGGGAGAGAAAGATGAAGAGTCTTCAGCACAAAATGCTGACAGTTGGATAAAATTTGATCGATGCTGGTATATAGCACTCATATGACAGTAGTAGTTTTATGTGAAAAGAAACGAGAAATAGCCATTTCAAAATGGTAATGGTAAAATTGTCATGGAGAAATGAACCATGAAGGAAAATGCGAAAATCCCTAAAAAATCTCCATTAAAACGTTTTTTAACCACATTATACTGATATGTTAACACATGACACAAGAAAATGAAGCTAAAAACAACATAGGACTTTCTTTCAAATAACTTTGTTTCCTAATGAATCTGTCAACAGAGAAAAGTGAGCCTTCTTTAGTGATGACAGCAGACTCTGGAAGAAGAATAGACAGTGAGTCAAAGCCAGCCTGGATTACAATAGCAAGACAGAAGCAGAGGGGTATGCAGCAGGAACAAGAGCTTAATACAGAAGAGAAACTTGTGGTTCAAGATATGAAATCAGAAACAGAAAAAGCAAACCAGGAAAAGGAAAGAACAGAGGTACTTTACAGTGCACCTGTGTATAATGGTTTTCTGTAACATTACTGTTGCATCCTTTGTTTGAATCAATTGTTGTTATAGCTGTAAAAAAAATCTTTAATTATTACGGTACTTAAGTACTGGGACTCCAATCCTGCCAGCATTTGTACACATGCATACTCCCTTGACTATATATATGAGTATCTTTATCTGCATGCATGTCCATGGGGTTACTCCCTGCATGTTTAAAAAAATATAGAAAAATTACCCTTGCGCCAGCTGTTTATGCAACACGAGGCCAGTGTACTGAAGTCTGTTTATCTGCTGTGATCTGTATGGTCCTGACTGAGGCAAATCTTTCTTCTTTTTTTTTTTAGTGTTTTTTAAATCCAAAAACCCACACATTTCATTGCTAACCTAAATCCTCTTAGCCAGGGATACCAAAGATCAAGCCTGCAGAGCCCTATCATCCAGCCTGCAGTACTGTCTGTGGTATCAGCCTGGCCCTGGGTGCCACATGCAGCACATGCTGACCCCAGCCCCAGCCCTGTGGGCTGCCTACAGTGCCCTGCCTGCCTCCAGAGCCCATCTGGTGCAGTCTGAACACAGTGTGGGGGTGGATGATATACTCATTACACATAGTAAGCAGGACCACTCTGGGGCACATGCTGTATACAGTGACCACACTGGACTGGCCCTGTCCACTGGATCCAGGCCAGTCCAAATCAGTCCCAGAGACCAGCTGCGTGTATTGGATCCTGCATGCAGAGCCAGTCTTATGTGGGCACCATGTGCAGCCTTGCACTCCAAACCAGCCCAGTGCACCTCAAGCCCACTATGCCACACAAAGCCTGGGGCCAGTTTGGGGTGCAGGCTTCATGTGGCACCCAAGCTAAGCTGGCTATGCACACTGGATCTGGGGCTGGTTCATATCAGAGCCACAGAACAGCCTTACATGACAGATACCACATGCAGGGCCAGTCTGGCATGGGTGCCACCTGTAGTACACACCCCAGATAGGCCTTGTGTGAAGCACACACCCCAGACCTACACCCCATGCTGTAAGCGGGGTTGGAGCTGGTATGCATGCTGCAAGCAGTGTCCTGCATGCAGTGCCCATACTGGACCAGTCCTGCATGCTGGATCTGGCTCATACGGCTGGTCTGTGGACACAATCTGGCCTGCAGACTGGCCCATGAGTTTAACATCTCTGCTCTAAGCAATTTAAGGCTACGTGCACAGTTTGGTTCCAGAAGCTCCTAGGTAACGGTTTTTAGCATCTGAAGAAATTAAATGAGATGAAAGTAAATTCTCCAACACCAACAGACAATATCAAAATCTAGATTTTGACTCTTTGCACAGCAGTAAATCAGACTTACTTGTGGTGACACTGGATATTGGCAGGCACTGCCTTTTAAAATAACTTATACTGAATATTCATGCATATACCACAGACTGCTGTCTGCGCTTTGGAGAGTGTGAAGAGGTGTGATCTCCAACCAATATAGCTGTGCTGGCACAAGCTCGTAGTGTAGGTGCTGTTACCCTGCCAAAATCTCACTATTACTGTCTGTATTGTTTGAGGGGAGCATGAGGGGATATGGTTCTACTATCTCAGGACAAATTACACTTTTGCTGGCATGTTTGTGTCCACATTTGTAGCATTTCATTTGTATGAAATACTGGTATTCCTGTACTGATGGAGTACAGGTCATGGTTGTCCCCTGTTAGAAATTGGCATATCATGTTCTAAACTAAAAATGCTCTCTCCAAATGATAAAAAATAATTAATACTGATAGTTGGATTGATGAGAAAAGTTTCCTAAGGTGGTTTCCAGATAAGATTAAAACCATAATAGAGTTTGAGAATATTCATAACAATTAATAGAAGGAGCTAAATCAACCCTATGTGAGGAATGACTATGTACAAAAAAACACCAGATTTTAGTTTTCAGTGGTTCCTGCAAATTGTGCCATCCAGATTGGTTCTCATCCAATCATGCCCCTGCATTTCTTCCTCTATATATCTTTTTAATGACAGCAAGACTTCTTTCAAGGCATGTCTATACGTTCAATTAGTGTACATGAATAATGTGCTGATTGCGCCAGAGTTTTTTGCTCCCAGATGTGCCATTTGAACATGCACCCAGGAGCAGTTAACCCCAGAGCAATCAGCTTTGGAGTTTATTCATGTGCAGCATGTGGAGCCAGGTCAGGGCAGTCCCAGCTGGCAGGGGGCCTTTGGAGTCAGTCTGCAAGCCCAGGGCTGCTTCCCCCAGCTTCACATGCTGTGGTGGGGCTTGCTGGGGCATGAGGGAGCTTCAGCATGGGACTAGCCAGCAAGCAGCCCCTGCACTAAAGCACCTTTGTGCCCTGCCAGGCCAGACAGTGTTTACATGTACACTGCTATGGAGTTTTTTACTCTGAAGCAGGATAGCATAGTTTACTGCAGCCTAATAGCTGTGTCGGTGTAGACACAAGATGTTTACTGCACAGCTAATTGGTCAACCGTGCAGTAAATGTATCATATAAATATGACCCCAGAGATATACTGCCATATAAACTCCTACTTTTAGGGCATTTCAGAACATAAACAAGAGAACCCCAGGAGGAATGCGCTGACTTGGTTGGCATTACATTCCTTACAGTCTGAAGGAGTTCAAACCCTGAAATCCCAGCTCTGCCTCCTTTCCCCCTGACCCAAGTCACAGATGCCCCAATCCCATGGATTTGGGAAGAAGGAAAGGGAACATACTGTTAAGTCAGAGACCACTGGCATGCAGCCAAAAGTATTATCTGCCAGGTTAGACTGCTGTATTCCTGTAGCATACAGACAGTGGGATAAATTTCCAGTGAGGGTAACAACCTGTCCTTCCTTATAAATAGGGCAAAGTAGAAAGGGAGCCTTTACATTGTAAAATTCCCAGTGCAAGCTCTTAGAGTTTTATGAACTGATAACTCAAGTGGCATGAATGGAATAAGTGCATGATGAGTGTTTTCCATTGTTACGGAGGAGCATCCTCTATTTCTGTGTTGCTCGTGTTTTTTTCTGGATTTCTCCTGCCATTCCTTTCTCTGTGAATTATTTAAAATAGATCTACCTGTTTTCCCCTAATCCCCATCTATAATAGGGGTCAGCGAAGCAACAAACAGATTCCATCAGGAACAAATTTTCAGATTCAGTCACTCCTGAAGAACAGAGGAAAGAAACAAAGTCTGATGTGAAAGAACCACTGCCAAGAGCCAGCTTGCTGTCGCATCATGTCTCTGGTATGAAAATAAATAATTGAAGTACACACACAAGCTGTGTCTACATCACTGATTCTCAGCCAGGGTTCTGTGGCACCCCGTGGTGCCTTGAGATCCTTCCAAGGGTATAGCAGGGTGCCATACACTGCACTGTTAGGTGTGCAAACATGATTCATAAAATAATCCCAGAGATTTGAAATAGCAATCCATAGTGTTAAAAACATTCTAACCTGTTTTGGTCTTTGAGTTCTTTGCAAAACAAGAATTGCGCTATAATTTTTTCTTGTAGTCAAAAAATGAATGAAAACTCAGGGCTGGCATTTTCCAAGGGGTGTCTCAAGTCTATGGAGGGGTGCCTTGAATCTAAAAAAGGTTCACAACTGCTAGTTTACACAGTACACTTACCATTCCCAGTAAGGATCTTCAAGTACACTGCACTGCTCCAGGCAGACTGCTGCCTAAACCAGAAGGAGTGTAGTCAGTCTTCACAGTACTTGAGAAGTCAGCTATTTGGAGCAATCACTCACCAGTATTAAGCGACTCAGATGAGCAAAACAATCATGTGCTTTAAGTATTGGCAAGATCAGGGTCATCGAGCCTGTTGTTTCTCCTATTTACTTCTGACTTCAGTTAGGGCAGATATGCAGCTATTTGTTTAACACCTTCTGCAGTTTTATTTGGGGGAATTCAGATATTATAAAAGCCTAAGTCTGTCTGTCTGTAACGCTTTATTTGCACTCTGATTGGCTGATGGAAACAGCCAATCAGAGTGCTCCAAGCATGGGAGAGCACTGCCATGATTCCGAAGCTGCTCTGAGGACTGGACAAAGGATGGGGGAACCGAGGCCAGCAGCACTGGCCTTGGCTCCCCTGCCCCACTCCCTGCAGGCGGTGCCAAGGACTGGACAGAGGGTGGGGGAGCCAAGGCCAGCAGCGCTCCCTGCAAGAGGCAGAACAGTGGCAGCATGGGGTGGTAGGTGCTCTGCCCCCATCATTCTTGACAGGCAATTGGTTAGTGTTTTATAATAGCCAAGCTCCAGAGCAGCCTCAATTCTTAGAATCATAGGACTAGAAGAGCTAAAGAGGCCCTCTAGTTCAGCCCTCTGTTCCAAGCAGGGTTGTCCCTGTCTAAAACATGCCAAACAAATGTTCTCACCTGGACTTAAAATACTTCCAAAAATGGAGTAACTTGTTCCATGCTTAATCACTTCCACCTCATAATTTATGCTCTTACAGAAATCATGAACTGGGAGTACCAAACCCATCAGAGATTTGAGTTCTAAACACACTGCCCCGGATATAAAAAGAAGAGTGCCTGCAAACATTTTTGAGACAGAGTATATTTTAGTTCCTTTCTAATGTATTATACAAGAAGTTTATATATGAATTTTGTTATCCTGCAAAATAATATTCTGAGTTTTAAAGAAAAAAGTGAGGTCTTTATCTGAGTTTCAAGGTGTGGGTTAATATAATGAATATATGAATATATTACATATGTAATAAATATACAGAATATATAATATAATGAATTATATGTTGCTTCTCTTTTTTTTGCTACAACTCCTCAGTGTTGATGGAAAAAGAAGAAATAAGCCAGTGTAAGAAGGCCAGTCATTCTGCTCCAGATCAGCCATCCTGGATGGAACTTGCCAAAAAGAAATCTCAAGCTTGGAATGATATGCCACGGATTATAAAATAAGATTTTGCACCTTGAACCAATAGCATCTGCTTCTTTGGATAATGTTGTAGTCATCTTTTTTAATGGCTTTAGACCAGGTATTTGCAATGAAAATCTGTGGAACTTGAGAAGGGCTTTATTATAAAGCTGTGGAGAAAGAGTGCAATAAGTGCAATCAAAAAGCTTACCTTAAACCTCTTGTAGCAATCAGGATGGTACTAGAAATGGTTTAAGCCACTTTAAGGGCATTGTTTTTCAAATTTTTCTGCAAGATATAACTTTCTGCCTTACATGGTACGTGTATTTTCCCCTCTCTAATGATATTTGCATAAAACCAAGGTCTTTGTTAAGCCACGTGGAACTTCTGGATGCAAACGTGTTTGTTACACTTCCTTAATTTTATGTTTGTCAGTTGTCCACTAACATTTTGATTTTCTGAATTTGTCTGGTATATCTTTTAACTCAGGTGTTTGGGCCAAGGGGGTACTCATGAATTTTATTTTAGTGAATAAGCTATCAAACATTCACTATGCAGAATTTGCTCTTTGGGCTACATGATTGGTTAGCCAAGGTGCTTAGTATGGTTTATAATATGGTAATTTGTGCATGAGTAAACTTGTTTGAGGAATTTTCACTCATTTTCATGCACAGATATTTGTGTGAACAAAACTCACTGCAGAAATGGTCACAGAAAAGTGAGTAATCGGGAAACAAATTCAGATTTGAATCAGAATTGGGATTCCAAAAATATATTTATGAATATTTTTTTCCTAGAATTCACCCAGCTGCTGCTATTCTTTCTTTATGAGAAAAATGGCTTGTGGTATGATAATTACTGCTTATGGTTATGTTTATGATACCAAGGATAAAGATTATGAATGTAGTTAAAGAATATTAAGCACAACCACATGGTTGGAGCTTCACCTCAGTGGTTAAAAAAGCAGGAACTGGACGATTCATAGAATCAATGAGTCGGAAGGGACCTAGACAGATCATCTAGTCCGACCCCCTGCCATAGGCAGGAAGGAGCACTGGGGGTGGGCGGTGTCATAAGACCCCAGCCAGGTGCCTATCCAGTCTCCTCTTGAAGATCTCCAGGGAAGGTGAGAGCACCACCTCTCTGGAGAGCCTATTCCAGGCTCTGGCCACCCTTACAGTGAAGTAGTTCTTCCTAGTATCTAACCTAAACCTATCCTCCCTCAGCTTGTGGCCATTATTCCTGGTGACTCCAAGGGGGGCCCTGGTGAACAGACTTGATTGAGGCACTTCTCAGCTCTATGACCACATGAGCTTAATTCTGTCCTTTTCCTCCTGCCTCTACACATGGATTGTAATAAGAAATAGAAAGTTCATTATCCCTTACCACACTAGATTAAGACTGACATTTTCTTTGTGCCCACAACTCCAGTTCAGTATTCCGTTCATTCAGTCTAGTGGGACTGCCTATGCTGCTTGCATAGCGCTGATATGGGAAATAATGGCTGCTAGTTGGCAGAGTTCACACGAAATACTGTGTTCTGCCTCTTCTTTGGCTGTACGAACTCAGCTAAAAGAAGCTAACAACAATATGTTAGCAAATGTCCTAAGATGAATGTGTTTTTGTTAAGGCAAGTGTTCTTCATTCTTGTAAGAACGTTACGTGAAAGCTATGGGGTTTTATTGTGGTAGAAGGTGGAGGGGACTTCCTTAATCTCTTATAAATTTGTGATTTGTTTGTATTTTGTTTTTTGGGTTTTGTTTGTTTTTTCCTGGAATGCTAACAGCCTTTTCAGATATGTAGGGAGACCGTCACTTAGAATTTCCTGTTTTTCTGATGCTGGCAACCCCATGTCCTGGGTTGGTGTGGGGGATGGAAAAACACTTGGTGTAGAAGCAACTTTAACCTTTAATGAAGATTTTTGTAAGTGAATAAGACATCAAAGTTTCTGAATGCTTGAAACCAGTTGTGTTGCTTCAGGCAGGTCTCCTTAGTAATAGAAAATGAGGGAGGGAGAGTCTAGAAACTGCACAGTACAACTATTTTTCTTCAAAGAATAAAAACTAAACTTAGCTTCTATTAAAAAGACACATGCCATCATTTGTATCCTGAAATTTAAAAAAAATGCTGGTTAGAGCCTTTTGTGGCAAGAGCAACCTATATCTATAGTTAAAGGACCTGATACTGCAGTACCGTTCTTATGCAGAACTTCTGTTGATCTCATTGGAATTACAAATTTCAAGGCAACAGTTCTTGTAAGTGTTTGAAAATCAAGAGCAGCAGTAGTTGTCTAAGTTATGCAGTGTTAAGGGCTGACTTCTGTGAATTTTTGGATGATCTAAAAAAAGTGAAGACTTTTCTTATGTTATATGTAGAAAAATGTTTGAGAGCAAAGGTCAGATTTATACTTAAACTGCCACAAAGCTGTTTGCACAGTCAAACTTCACCTTGTTCCTTGTTACTGTGCATTTATAGCATAGCCTTTAATCATGAATTTTTCCAACCAGACAATTTATACTATATGTTTGTGTTAAATGTGCTAGAGAACATGAAAAGACCATTTCAGGTACCATTAAAATGTCTTTAAAAATCCCCCCAAAATAAATAAAATTTTGCTTTGTGATTTTCACACTTTTTTTTACTTGAAGACTGTATTACATCTTGCAGCATTCCTGAGACAGCCCTAAAAGAAAATTAAACACAAATCTGAATTTATATATTTTTTAAATCTATGTTATTTGATTATTACATGCTCCAAGCCTCGCTAAAGAATAGATTGCTTTCCGGACATTAACTTGAAGAACCAAGATTCATGGTTTGTTATCCTTCTTCTTGGTTTTCTGTCTACTACTAATTATTGAAAGTAGGTCTGATCACTGCTGAACCTCTAGGTTGTGAGTACTGTAACTACAAAGGCAAAGCATCAAATTCTTCCTCTCTGTTATTGCTAGACAAGCATTCAGGATAGTGAAGTTCTGTAGTAGAGTCTGCTCAGACTTCCTTCACAAGTACCAGCTACAAAAAAAATAAATCTCTCACATATGAGAGAGTTTTAAAAAAGCAGCTCTTCTATATTTCTCAATGGTACATGCAGCTCAAATATTAATGCAGTGTTTTTAGTTTGATTCTTTAAGTGTTGTGGGTGAAATCCTAGTGCCATTGAAGTCTGTGAGTTTTGTCAGCGAGCTCAGTGTGAACAAGGTGTGCTGACTCCCACTAACTTGGCTTTCATTTATCTTTTTTTTTTTTAAATGATTGCTGGTTTGTAGCAGGAGTAGTAGCAATTGGCTACAGTGGGCATGCTCTTGGATCCATGGACGCTAACAGCAAAACTTCCACTGATTTCAGTGGAAACAGGCTCTAGTCTTGCAGGGTGTTTAGTGTGACATGGCAGTAGCTCAGAACCTTGAAGGATCACATAAGTCAGTCTTAGCCAATTGTTAAACAGTCACTATTATCCACTCAGTTTGGTGGACAGTAGGTCAAAACTATTTCAATCCAGCCTGTCTTGCCTCAACGAAATAGGCTGTATTAGGCAATACAAAGGTGTAGCATAAATGTATTTATAAACACTTGCTCATAAGGAAGCTGAGCTACATTTTGCATTTTCTACCAGGTGGAAAAAACTTTGTAAGCAGTTTTACTGTGGATGCTAGTGTACTCTTCCAGTTAGGAAGCAAAATGGTTGACTGACTCAGCAGGATCCATTTTGCTGGAGGAACTGCAACTAAAACCAAGCAATACAGTAGCAAATCTATTGAAATAACGTGGCCTTAGCATATAAAGAAATACAGTTTTTAGCTAAATTAATACAGCAATCAAGAAAACCATGAAAGTGAAGAGTAGAAAGCCTTAGTGTTTTTTCCTCTCTCAAAAGTCATGGACTGTATATCTAGGAGCAGTCCTTGTGCTGGCTGTTGAATGACTGAATTTCAGTGTTGAATCTGGCTGTTGTTCTGAGTACATGCAATGTAAATTAAATTGTGTTTTATGTTTCTAAATCTGAAAACTGTAGGTTTTGTGACTTTACATGGTATTTTCTATTTTGCTTAATGTAATATAGCTACCTCCTAATGTCTATTTCAGTAATTTTAAGATTAAAAAATCACAACTAAATGATTTTAATGTTGTATAGATAATTGTAATAAATACCTTTTTAAGGCCAAAACATCTCTCTGGCCTTTTCTTCCAACTGGTGTTGTTTTGCAGTGCCTTGTTTTTAACAGAGCATGTTTACCAAATTTATTCCCTTTCTTAGGGGCAGTTTTGGCTAAAAAACCTTTTTATCAGTAAAATGGTTCAAAAGCAACTTTGAAAACGGTTTGTTGTAATTTTGGGATTCCAGTAATTCCCTGGTAGTCTCGAAGGATATAATAAAATTGCCAAAATGTTTGCTTTTATATACATGATGAACACTCAACTATAGGAGACAAAGGTTTAATTATAGGGTTCTGTTTGCAGTTATAAGGTAACTTCTTTTAGTGTAAAAAATAATATCTAGTAGTGCAGTATCTTTCACAGCTACTTAACATGAAATTCACCCCTATGCAAAGAGCCAATACAATATCTGTATAATATAAGTCATCAAAATAGGCCTTACATTGGTCTTCAGTGATGTGTAGGCCTTATGCTGTCCCTCTGGCCACTGATGCATATCAGGGTATAGACAAATGTACCTTTTAATGGCTTTTAAAAGGAGAGGGGGGCTGCTGCTCAGGAAATGGTATCAGTTATAATGTAAGTGTTAACAGAGTTAACATTGTAGCAGTTTTGCCACCTTCCCCTTGCCCCTCTCCTTTGCCTTTTATAGGCATGGAATCATGCCAAGTTGCATTATAACATTCTTTGGAATCTTTTTGAAATTGATACAGTTGGGTGTGTACACACATACTAAGCCAACTTAAAATAATCTGATTTAACTAAGATGACTTAAGCCGAAGCTGACTTAAATTAAGCCACATCAAAGCATACATGTGTACATCTCCCTGATATGGTGGCAGCCATCTTGTGAGCTAAGTCAACTTAACTAATGCGGCTCAATATAATACACTATGGAGGTGTATTATCTTGTGCTGCATTTAAGATGGCTGCTCCACATGCATGTGTACACTCTGAAAGTTAAGTCGGCTTTAAAAAAATTAAGCCAACTTAATGACAAAGTTAGTAAGTGTGTATGCACCCATTGTTTCAGCTGTTTATAACCACTTGCATGTTGTCAGCATTGATGGAGCATTCCACTATTGGGTGTGATTTCCCCTATGAATTTTATGTTGTCTGACATCATAAATTTATAAATGCTATTACAATTTTTTTTATCAATTATGTCCAGATAATTCTCCATCTGCTGCTGCTCTTTAGTCATGGGGCACTGCTGTAAAATATATATTTGCATTATCCCAACTATATAGTCTTGCTTTCCAGTATCTTTCCATGTCTGTGGGTTACCTGAACTTTCCATTTCTCTATATAC